TGGTTCGCTGGAGTCCCAAAGCTTTAGAAATGGCGTTATAACCTTTTCCAGACTGATAGATCTCAATTACTTTCTTTCTCATTTGTTTCTGAATTTCTTTGGATCTCGGCATGATGTCTAGCTTTTGAGGATCTTTTGGTCTACTTCACTTTGTCAGGCAGGTCCTATTTAAGAGATTTCTTGATTGCGAACAGGTGTGGCAGTAATCAGGCCTGGGTGTGGCTAGAGTAATTGAACTCAGGTGTGATAAACCACAGTTTTAACAGGGGGGCAAACACTTCTTCACACAGGGCCATGCAGTTTTGGATTTTGTTTTCCCTTAATAATAAAAGCATTCATTTAAAAACGGCATGTTGTGTTCACTTGTGTTATCTTAGACTAATATTTAAATTAGTTTGATGATCTGAAACATTAAAGTGTGACAAACATGCAAAAAAATAAGAAATCAGGAAGGGGGCCAACCCTTTTTCACACCACTGTGTATATATATATATATAGTGATACAAGTACAATAAAAAAAAAAAAAATCTAATATATTTGTTTTTATTTTGTATTTGTCTAGTTCTAATAGTGAATAATGTTGCCTCTGCTAATCTTAATTATTATGGCAATTCTGATAAACAGTAATTACGCAAAATAAATCAATGTTCTTTCATTTTAATGCAAGATAGCACAGCGTGTTCTGTCACAATTATTTCTTTTTGTTTGCATATGAATTATTTTTTAATTTTTTAAACAATTACCCTCTGTCCATATTGCGCATTTTGTCTAAATAATTATAGTTGTTTTATTGAAAGCATTGTTAATTAATGGGGGGGGGGGCTTTTTTCCCTTTCATGCGTCATTATTTTATTTCTTTGGTATAATTAAGGTGTTATGGAAAAGATGGGATTAGGTCCTGAAGATTTACTAAAAGAGAACCCGTGCCTGATTTATGCTCGACTCACCGGCTACGGTCAGAGCGGATCCTACGCCAAGGCTGCCGGGCATGATATCAACTACCTGGCCATGTCAGGTAATTTGCTAATCGACCAAAAAGAGGTGCAGTTTTAGCTTTGTGGTGTCCAGTGCTTATGTTATAGATTAATTTGTTTCTATAAGCTACAGAATATGTGGAAGCCTGAATTTGTGCAGGATTTACAGGCCTAATGTTCTTAATATATTCAGGCATAGCGACAGTAAATGTATTAATAACGTATGTTTCCGCTTCGAATCTTAATTTGAAATTACGTAACAGGAGCTGTTAGACAATGCAGTCATTATTACAATAAAAGCTTGCATAAAGTTTTATTCTAAATAATAACAGTTTCATTTGGGTTCATTTTTTTGGCATAAACTGATAAAATGTGTATGTAGAATTAAATTTAAGTTGCTTTGGTAAAAGTATCTGCCAATTTAAATTAAAGCCATGTGTGCACTAATGTAAGATCATCCTGGCAGGTGCATTTCAGTGTTGCGTTCATGCAAAACAACAACACCAGGTTTGGTCTTGAACCACTGATGCGGCATCACCAGACATATAATTCTAAACATATTATGCTTCTTTTTTTTTATTAACACCAACTACCATACATTGCCATGGTACTATCCATTTCTTTTAACTAAATGGGAGCGTTTTTCAAGTTTGATTGCATTTTTTAGCCCTTTTTTGTTGATTTGCTTTGACCTTTTATGTGCTAACAGAACAATACACACTTGTAATGTAATTATCTTTGATGACATTGACCTTTGCGAAGTCTGTGTGTGTTAAATCCAAATTATTTAATGGCTTCACTTGTAATAATGCCCATTGTTCTTTTGTTTTTGTTAATTCGCTACACTTTTCTTATCACCACTTAACAGGCAATACTATTTAAACCAGTTTAAAAGCCCAGAGGATGGAAACAAATGCAAGTGGCTTAATTGGTGATATTTTTAGCTGACCTTTAACTGTGATTTAAAAATAACTGTTACAGTAATTATTCAGCTATTCTTCAGCTCTCAGGATGTCCCTGTCCCTCTCTGTCCGTAATAGGGTTGCTGTCCATGCTGGGCCGTAGCTCAGAGAAACCCTACGCTCCATTGAATTTGGTGGCAGACTTTGCTGGAGGAGGTCTCATGTGTGCATTTGGGATTGTGTTGGCTCTCCTGGAAAGAAGCAGGTCAGGACAAGGCCAGATAATTGATGCCAGCATGGTGAGATACAGCACCTCATCTTAAAATAGGTTCCCATTGACAAATTGTTATTGACTTCTCTTTGAAATACCAGTGGAACAATTTTCTGTTTCCTAGAGACTCTTTTGAATGTAATAGTTTCCTGGGCTGGTTAGCTGAAGCTAACGAGTGACTGGAAAAAGAAGCACTTGTGCTGGCTTGCTTTCATTCCATACCATCAAATTTATATCATTCTGAGGGTGTCATGAATTGTTTTTCCCCCCACCGTGCTAAAAATCCTTTTCCTCTTCTAGTTTTGACCAGCCACTGCATGGAATGAGGCAATTACAAGCCTTGTTTATCTCAATACGATTGCCCCATGTTCTGAACAGTCTGTCGATAGTTTTCTGCAATCTGGATTTTCCAATAATTGCTTGGTTTTTCCTTTCAAGTTGCTTATATTGGCACTATCTGTTTTCATTAACACCGCTACGTGTGAGTACGGTTAGAGTAGTTATTTTCCAAGTAAGGATGACCCATTTAGTTAGGAATTGCAAATATTGTGGTCTAGCCCATTCTCCAATGGGTCCTTGAGAGCTTAAATGTTCCTCCAAATCAATGTACTGTAATTCACTTTGAAAACCCCCCCAAGAAACTAAACCGTTTAGCTGTTTATTCACAAATATTAAGCATTTAAATTTGGACCTGTGGTTGAAACTGAAATATTTGGTTGCAAAGCTCATCATTAATGCTAATTAATAAAGTATGAAAAGTAGGGCCGCTGAGAAGTAGGTCACTCAAGCATTAGAAATTGAAATATTGATACCATTTTACAGCTCGCTGAGAATCTCATGCTTCATTGGTCTCCCCTATATTTTTAATCATTATTAAAATGTTTTAATTATAAAAAAAAATCGTCATAGTGGTTGATTATAAACCCTCACAGATTTACATTTCCTACTGTTATTGATATTTGTAAAAATGACATGCTTGTATTATTAGCATCTGACATTTTCTGAGGAAAGTGTTTGCTCAAGAGCCTGTATTGTGTTCTTAGAGCCCTTTCATGGTGAGAGAGTCTCTTTGGCTTGTAAAGTCTACATCTACTGGTGATCAGCAAGAGAATCATGTGATGTAGCTTGTAGAATGCTAAAAACATTTATTGAGTCAATATAAAGTTAACAGAAAAAAGGAAAACTCAATTCAAGTTTATTCACATAACACTCTTCACAATATTGTTTCAAAGCAGCTTTACAGAAAATGATTGTTTCAATTTTTTCAGTTAGGAAGTATTCTTGTTATTAGGCAGTGAGTGCATCAAAGTAATGTCCTTATGGTACTAATATACAGCTATAATATAATACATGCATGTTATGTGGTTAAAGTCATATGTTCAGTTAAGTAGATTCAACAAACATGTTAGGCAGCAATTACAACTTGTGCTTGTAATGATTACAATATAAGGATAATGTTTGACAGTTTTATACAATGATTTATAGTTGGCATCAATCTGAAGTCTTTGCAGAGTGACTTAACAAGCTAAGTAATAATAAAAAGAGTATTGTCATATTTAGCCTATTACATACAGTGCCTTGTATTCATACCCCTTCAATTTTTCCCCGTTTTATGTTGCAGCCTTATGTTAAACTGCTTTAATTACTTTTTCCCCCACATCAATCTACACACCATACACCATGATGAGAAAGCACAAAACAGATCTGTGACAACTTTGCAAATTTATTAAAAATAAAACGCATTGCTCAGTACTTAGTTGAAGCATCTTTAAAGCCTCAAGTCTTTTTGGGTATGATGCAACAAGTTTTGCACGTGTGCATTTGGCAAATATCTGCCATTCTTCTCCTCACCTCTTCACCTCTCAAACTCTGTCAGCTTGAATGGGGGCTGGCTGACATTTTCAGGTTTCTCCAGAAATTTTTGATTGGGTTCAAGCCCTGGCTGTTTCTGGGCCACTCGGAGACAGTAGGCTTGTTTGAGATGAGCGAAATCTGCGCAGAACCGATCACCGGTGATCACCGCGAGATGCATGCCGGTTATAAAAGTGTCCGAGTTACATCCAACTTGCTCTGATGTCACGCTGACGTGTGCCAAAAAACTCTCGCGACGGCGAGGCGGCTGTGTCAGATTGTGCAGTTGCTCTCCACCGACTGCGCTGATCAAAAGCATGATGGGAAACGACTGACTGACGACACAGCTTAATGACCATTGGTTCAGACAACCGTGATGCTGCGTTCTCTTCTAAAATGTTACATTTTTTATCTGATTTCATGTGATTTATGTATTTAAATTATGCTTGAATATTCCCTAACACTATGACAGTGTGATCTCTGTGTGAGATATGTGATAGTTGTCATATTTCTATAAAAATCAAACTTTGTCAAAAATCAAAAACTTTATTAAAGTAAAAATGGATGATAAATATGCCTTTCGTATGGAATTAAATAGCAAGCACTTTGAGTGTCTTGTTCATCTTATTTATTTTCATATAAAAACAACAGAGCTAAAATTATATCATATTAATTAGCAACACAGCACGTGAGTGTGAATAATGCGATATCTGCCTTTGATCTCGTAGTTATCTTCCACTTCGAGAGCTCAAAACTGTCCGTCTTGACTGCGTTTATTTCACTCCTCCCCTCACTGCAGCCGCCTGCTCTCGCCTACATTTCAGGCGAGGTGCAACTCAAACAAGCCTATTCACAGAGTTGTCTATAAGCTACTCTTGTTGCGTGCTTAGGGTCATTGTCCACGTTGGAAGGTGAACCTTCTGCCCAGTCTGAGGTTCTGAATGCTCTGAACTAGGTTTTCATTAAGGATATCTCTATATTTTGCTGTGTTGAGTTTTCCTTCTACTCTGACGAGTCCCTTAGTCCCTGCCGCTGAAAAACAGCCCCACAGTATGAAGCTGCTACCACTACACTTTACTGTTGGGATGTTAATGTGCAGGTGATGATCAGTGCCTGGTTTCCTCCATGCATGATGCTTGGAATTGAGGTTCATCAGATCAGAGAATCTTGTTTCTCAGAGTCTGAGGGTCCTTTAGGTGCTTCTTTGTTAATTCCAAGTGTGTTTTCATGTGTCTACACTGAGGAGAGGATTGAGTCTTGCCACACCACCATAAAGCACAGATCGGTGGAGTGAGGTTCATCAGATCAGAGAATCTTGTTTCTCACAATCTGAGAATTCTTTAGGTGTCTCCAGTCTAATCAAGGCCCTTCTCCATCAATTGCTCATTTTGGTCAGTTTGGTCAGGAGGCCAGCTCTAAGAAATTTGGTTGTTCCAAATTTCTTCCGTTATGGATAATGTAGGCTACGTGCTTCTGTGAACCTTCAATGCAGCAGAATTTTTTTTCTGAACTCTTCCCCAGATGTGTGGCTTGATGCCATCCTGTTTCTGAGCTCTACAGACAGTTTTGACCTCAGGGCTTGTTTTTACTGTGATGTGCATTTTCAGCTGTTAGACCTTTTATTGAGAGGAGTGTGCCTTTCCAAATCATACTCATTCAATTGAATTTGTCACAGGTTAACTCCATTTGAATTGTAATAACATCTACACGTGATATGAATGCTCCTGAGCTAAATTTCAAGTGTCCAAGTATGCAATGGAATAATTTCATTTTTTTTTATTTCTAATAAATTTGTTACAAACCTGTTTTGTGCTTTGTCATAATGGTGTATGGAGTGTAGATTGATGTGGGAAAAAAAGTAATTTAAAGCTGTTTTTAACAGAAGGCTGCAAAATAACAATGTGAAAAAAAATGAAGGGCATGAATACTTTCGCAAGGCACTGTACACGACATTTGATGTGTATAATTATATTTAATAATTGTAATGTTTTTCTTTCCGTATTATTAATTACTCTAGTGAGTAATTTCCTTTTGTGTTGAATCATCCAGCACACATAAAGTCTAGTTCACACTTGCTGTGTTAAATCTGTGTGTTAACCCTCTTGGTCTTTGTTGAAGCAGTTGGGAAAAAAAGCTATTTAAGGTTTGCTGGCACATTGGTCAGTTCTTTAAATGCCCTGTTTTGTTCATGCTGCACTAGGTTTTCTTTGCTGGGAAAAAAAAAGACGATTAGCAATTGCTATTCTGCTTGTTAATTAAATATGACATTTCACTCAGCCCTAAGTACATTTTTATGCGTTAGAAAACCTGAACCAGACGATGGAGCTCCAATTTGACTGAGGTTATGTCATTTACTCTAACGCAGTTTGATCTCTGCCACTTTAAGCCCTTAAGGAAATAAACAGTGGTAAATATAAAGCGTAATATGTGACAATCCAATATTGAAGCACCTCTCAGATTAGCAATTCAGACCTGGAGCAGAGCTGCAGTGCTAGTGGAGAGTTTCTCCTGATAGCCGTGTGTGCTCCAAGCTAATGTCAGTGTGGGCAGAAACTGTGGTAATGATGATTAGATATTTGCCTGTTAGGCAGTAAAGATATCTGAAGCACGTTCCCCGTGAGTCACCTTGCTGCTTTCTGATAAAGTCGTTTGACATTGACTGCCGCTTTTAGCGACGTCATGTGATATTAACCCGCAAGGCAGGTAAATAGTTTTTCACTTGCATGCCAATTTGGATGTATTATACCCTGCAAACTTTATGCTGTTAAAAGTTTTTAATTTAAATACTTATTAGAAATTAAAGAGCTGGCCTGGGTGTTTCATTACAATTTCATAATTGTGTTATGCAACATTTGTTTTGGGGCTGTGTAATGTACACTGTCGGTTTAAATCCCAAATATTGTTTGACCACTGTCTTCTTCACATTGACATCCAAACAAATGAGCCGTAATAAACATTATACATTACCTCATTATTTTTATAGAACTATAAATATTCCACTTTGATGCGTAGGTCTTTTTCTGATCAATATGAAAGGTGGAAGGATGAAGAAATAGTTTGAAGCATATCATGATAACACATTCAGTATTAGGCCAAGCGACAGGTGTCTTCTGGGAGAGTGACTTCTTTATGGTCAGGCCAATCAAATGCGCAAATAGAAACCCAGATCGTCAACGTCTATTTGAAGGCTGGGTTAACTGGGAAATATATGAAGTATATCCACATTAAAGTTAATTTTGCAAGGTCACAGTCTTTGAAATGCATGTATATTTATTTTTATGCATCAGTCTGGAGGATTTGACCTAAATCTGTGAAAATGTTTCTGAAACACTTGCTACTGGCCCTTTAACCTCAGCCTTGATGCCAAATTTGTCATTCAGAACTGATTCAGGTCAAGATCTAAGTGCCATAATTCTTTAAAGGGGTCATGTCATCCATATTTACCATAAGTCTACTTATGCTTGTGAGTTTATTTGAGCAAGACACAGTCATATTCTATTTTTTTGTTGTTGCCAGTTTCACCCTTTCTCTAAAGTAAACAGCCTTTTTTTAGCCATTTCCCTTTGAGAAATGTCACCATTGCATGTGAAATTATTAACTGCATGCATTACTCACACAACCTTTGAGAGTTTATTGTGGTGTCATACATAGTTTTTGCCATCCCCATCCTTTAAGAACTGCCTTTGTGAAAACTGTACAGTATTACACTGTGACTGGTTCATAAAATCAGTGCTGAAATATGCCACACAAACTATTTAAATCAAACTGAAACATCAGGGACCTTGTTAAAAATAAATGTAATCCATTTTTCATAAGCGTGGACAGTCATGCATTTGATGAATTCAGTATATCGCTGCAAAATTAACTCCGTTTTTGATGTTTAGTTTAGATAAATGCTTTTTTTAAAATATCTGAAGGTTACGTTATGTTTTCATAGGACATCAAGCTTTAATATGCATACAAGATCAAAGACATTTTGATTACTCATGATATGGCTGCTTTTGAGTCGTGCTGTGCCATGTGGAAATCAAACCGCTGCAAACCTCTACAGAACTGCACGCTGTTTCACTGTGGTGTGCTTGTATTATAAAGTTGCTTAAATCCTCCCGTCATACCACATTTCTGTCTTGTTCAGTGCATTCATGTATATACATTTATGTGATTATCTGCACTTTCCTGCATATAAATTTATTATAAACTGAATTATGTGACCTGATGAATATGTACAACTCCAGCTACCCCTAATGAGGATGTAGCCCTGCTTATTGGCAAGCATTGTGGGTTAAAGGGTTAGTTCACCCAAAAAGGAAAATTAGCCCATTAATTACTCACCCTCAAGGCATCCTAGGTGTATATGACTTTCTTCTTTCAGACGAAACCAGTCAAAGTTATAGTAAAAATGGTCTTTGAGCTTCCAAGCTGTTTAATGGCAATCAGCGGGTGTTGCAGTTCATCAGTCCAAAAGAAGTGCAATAAAGCGCTTCCATCCATAATAAAAAGTGCCTCACATGGCTCTGGGGGGTGAACAAAGGCATCTTGTAGCGAATCAATGCGTTTTTGTAAGAAAAATAACCATATTTAAAACGTAATAATCGCTTTAATCTAGCTTGCGCTCACTGTTATACACGGAAGCAGTTCCGGGCTGATGACGTAAGACGTCGACATTGCGCATGCGCCGCTCAGAAGTGACGAACGCGGAAGCACAGGGGAGAGATCAAAACAAAACAACGGTCATGAATTAGAAGTACAAAATTAGGATTTGTAAAGAAGAATGTTGGAGGATTTCGATATAAGCCAAAAGGAGACTGGTTTTCCTTTGCTAAAGTAAGGAAACTTTGCTACCTTTGCTCCTGTAAACAAATGATGCGCAACGCCGACATCTTACGTCATCCTCCTGGACCTGCTTCCGTGTACAACTGTTGGCACAAGCTAGAGTAAATTGATTAATAAGCTTTGAATATGGATATTTTTCTTACAAAAACGCATCGTTTCGCTACAGGAGGCCTTTGTTCACCCCTCGGAGCCGTGTGAGGCACTTTTTATTATGGATGGATGCGCTTTTTTCACTTCTTTTGGACTGATGAATTGTAACACCCACTGACTGCCATTAAACAACTTGGAAGATCAAAGACAATTTTTAATATAACTCCGACTGGATTCGTCTGAAAGAAGAAAGTCATATACGCCTAGGATGCCTTGAGGGTGAGTAAATAATGGGCTAAATTTCATTTTTGGGTGAACTATCACTTTAAATGAGTGATGCTTGTGTATATGTGTAGGTTGAAGGTGCAGCATATGTCGGCTCCTTCATGTGGAAGTCTCGTAGCCTCGGCCTGTGGAATCGTCCACGTGGGGAAAACTTGCTGGATAGTGGCGCTCCATTCTACGATACGTACCGTACGTCTGATGGAAAGTACATGGCAGTGGGGGCGATTGAGCCTCAGTTCTATCAACAGTTTATTCAAGGTCAGTATATTATATTTCTTCTTAATATGGTCCTGTAGTGTCATCTTCTGATTATAAAGGATGTTCTCATGGTGTGAATTGCTATGAATGCTTGCTGTCTCATTCAGAATAGTTGTATTTTGTTAATGGAAAAATCTGAAGTATTTACAGGCAGCTACACAAACACCTGAAATTCCACTCTTTTTTTCATCCGTAAAGAAATTATCAGTCACCATAGATGTTTTAAAAATCCCTTATCTTAATCTTTGATAATCTTAATTTAAGACAATATGGTTACTCTTTATTTGAAATATGGTTACTAAAGTTTATCTTGATGTGGAAAATACATCTTTAAAAAACCATGCAGTTTTTTGATAGGAAAAATTATGTGCAAATATTAAAATTAAATCTAAAAATGATATTTCTTCTTAGTTTAGTTTTTTTTTTTTTTACATATTCATTTTATTTCTTATTCTTTTTTATTATATTCTCTATATGAACAAATATTTTTGTTCATTTCATTTTCTTATTGTTTCTTATATATAATAAGTGTGTGTGTGTGTGTGTGTATTCTCATTTTTTCATTTTAAGATCTTATTTAAATTTTTTTCTATTCACGTCTTTTCTTTTTATTTTCTTGTTCTTTTTAATTATATTTATTCTCCTATTTTTGCACTTTATGGTGTTAATACTTTATTCTCATATTTTTGCATATGTTCTTATTATTTTTTATCTCTCTTCTCTTTTTTGCATTTTTTGTTTTCTTTTGTCTATTAAATATTTATTCTTTTATTTGTGTTTTATTTTCTTAGTTTATATATTTATATAATTATACAATGTTATTTTCTTATTCCTTTATTTCTCTGAACACAGTACACAATGCGCATCTATACATCTAGCTGCTTTTAATTCACCTGAAATAAACCTGAATGACATCGGAGTACAATTAACCACAAGATTCTCAGGGTCACATTGTTCTGTCTACATGGTTGTCAATTTTGCGCAGGCATGCAAAGATTAGGGAGAAGCCACGGGATGCTTTATTAGTATGTGCATAGGGATTCATCCTACGTCCTGATGACCCAAGTGCTTAATCTTGCTTTGAAACCATAATAACTCTATTGCTATTCAAGTTTGACCCTCAGTAGAAGAATGTCTCCTTATAAGTCACCTGCTGTGGCCAGTGTAATGCACTAATGGCTTCTGGATTCATAGTCCTTCATGATCTCTTTGATCTTTGTCCTCTAAACTTTTTTATTGATTGTTTTCCTCTTTTTCTATCTCCCTCATCTAATTCTCTCTCACCACAGGTTTGGGCTTATACGATGCTGACCTGCCCGCACAAATGAGTGTATCGGATTGGCCGCAGCTCAGGCAAACATTCACCCGGGTGTTTGCCAGCAAGACGCAGGAGGAGTGGAGTCGAGTTTTTGATGGGACAGATGCCTGTGTCACCCCTGTGCTGTCTTTGGATGAGGTACTCTCTCACCCCCACAACCAGGCACGGGGGTCATTCTTCAAGGACTCTCAGGGGGAAATTAGCCCTCAACCTGCACCCGTTCTGTCCCGCTCCCCTGCGGAGCCCTGTCACTCCCGGGACCCCTTCATCGGAGAGCACACTCGCTCTGTGCTGAAGGAGTACGGGTTTGAGCAAGCGCAAATAGAACAGCTCTTATCTGCCGGTATTGTAGAGTGTAAAGAAGCTAAAGCGCGTCTGTAAATCAAAGACTCTGACTGGAGAATCATTAAACTTTGTGGCCAATGATGCAGCGTGGGAATCTGAGCACTTGAACTCCTCTGTCTTGTTAAGTGAGTGTGAGGGGGCATTTCAGAACAAAATTACTCTCCCTTGTGAATCACTGGGTGCTGCAGTGGAAGTGGACTAAATGATCCTATGCTTTTATGTTAAGATGTCCAAAAAAATTCAACTCTCATTTGTAATTGCTGTAGGGAAAGTCAAGTGAGATTAAATTAAAGCCTATTGCAAATATTCTGTATTAATCTTAACATCCTTATTTTTGTCAGCAACATCATCAGTCTTTCAAAAAAGATATTCAACGTTCACTTATTTTTTAAGACCGTTTTGAATTAATAATAGTATTGTTGAGGGCATTTTATTTGTAGTTGATTAAAGTGTACCGCTTTTGGTTGTGAATTGAAATACTTGACTAATAAGCGCCTTCAGCAAGAATAGCTGAGTGTGAGTCATAGACTAACTAACTGAGTGAAATATTTGCCTTTGCCTAATTATTAGGGAGCGCTGATGACCCAAGATAATGGTATTAGGATAAAACCAATTAATGATTCAGCTTAAGATGAAGTTTTCTGTCATAATATCACTAGTTGTATAAAAGTGTAACACTTGGTGAACACCGTAGTGGTCTTTATTAGGTCGTTTTTGTGTGGCCTGTATTTATTATAAGTAATGGGGACAGTAAGGTTTTTGCTTAAAGCCAATTCACACTATACCAACAGACGCAGTCAAACGGCAACAGACACATTTGTCGGGATTTGTTGGATCAGTGTTTTACCCCGTCTGCAGCTCTTGGCATTAGCCAGCACTTATTTTTGCTGACTGAACATAAGGAACTGCCATTTTTCGGGTCTTGGAATGTCTGAGAAGTGTTGTAATGTAATCTGGTGACCATCAGCATTGGCCCTGCGTCTGTTAGTGCGGTGTAAATTGGCCTTTATGCTCATCAGGGATATAATAAAAACAGTAATATTGTGAAATATTAGTGTAATTTAAATAAACTGTTTTAAAGGGGTCATGAACTGAGAAATCAAAATTCCCTTGATCTCTTGACATGTAAGAGGTCATTGTACTATTAAAACATCCTGTAAGTGTCAGAACTCAAAACTTTCTTGTTAGTCTAAAAACAGCTTATATTGAAGCCAGTCTGCCAAAACGACAGCTTGTGGAATGTACTATATGATGTAACCGTGTGGATAAGCACCACATCCGCAGAAGAAGATAGACATTGCCGCCTGTTTAGCCACGCCCACTGATTCACACATGTAGTGTTTACGAGAGAGGCGAACGCAGGTCTACGCAGAAACCAAACGATAAGGATGCTCTGAAGACAACAAGACGCTGTGAAGTGCCAAGTTGTGGAAAAACAGTCTTTGCTTCGCCTTCCTTCTGATCCCAACGTTAAGAAAGAATGAATAAATGTTATTTTTAATGAAGTGCTAGACCGCGACAGTAAGAATTCGGTCCTTAGTTCACTTCATTTTACCACGGATTCGTTTACAAACAAGGCACAATTCGATGCGGGTTTTTTCAGAAAGATTGAAACTAAAAGACGATGCTGTGTGTGAGTAACTTTGTAAAAAAAGATCATTTGATATGTTCTGAGTATTTAAGCGTTTTCAACCTAAATCACAGCAGTGTTCATCTGTGAAGGATGTAGGCTGTCAAACATACACAACTATTAGCCAATCATAGCAGTGGGCATTTACTTCAGAGTCTACAATCTGCCAAGCCTATTCAAACAGAGCATTCTGATGAAAGGGGTCAAAAACAGGACAGAAAATAGCCTATTCTAAATTGTTTTTTTATGTAAAAATCTTGATAACATTATAAGTGGACCTCAGAGAACAATACAAAATAAATAAACAGTCCATGACCCCTTTAACATGTTATGAAGAGCAATTTATTTCTGTGATGGCAAAGATGAATTTTCAGGTTCTGATGAAAGGGGTCAAAAACAGGACAGAAAATAGCCTATTCTAAATTGTTTTTTGATGTAAAAATCTTGATAACATTATAAGTGGACCTCAGAGAACAATACAAAATAAATAAACAGTCCATGACCCCTTTAACATGTTATGAAGAGCAATTTATTTCTGTGATGGCAAAGATGAATTTTCAGCTGCCATTACTTCAGTTTTAAGTGTCACATGATCCCTCGGAAATCATTTTAATATGCTGATATGCAGTTCAATAAACATTTGTTATTATAATTAATGTTGCAGACAGTTGTGCTGCTTAATATTTTTTGTTGAAACCGTGTGAAAAAGAACGGAATAATGTTCAAAAGAACAGAATTTATTTGACAGAAATGTTTTGTAACATTATAAATGTCTCTACTGTCACTTTTGATCAATTTAATGCATCTTTTCTCAATAAAAGCATTCATTTCTTAATAAAAGTCTTACCAACCCCAAACTTTTAAACAGTAGTGTATTTTCAAATTAAGAAAAGAGGCTGTACAGATCAAGACACATTTTCTGATCCTTGAAGATTGAGATAAAAATAATGAAATTGTAAAGCAGTTTTTAAAACTTCAGTTTAAAAAAGTTTAGACTTTAAAGACTGCATCTGGCTTCAAACAATACTTCTTTTGATAACATTCTGAATCATCTTTTCTCAATTCAAATACTACTAGTAAACCCAAAGAATGAGTTGCATAAAAATATTTCATAACTACTCTAGCCTGAAATCGATTCTCATTCACGTAGAAGATATGTGTGGAATGTGGCATTTTAATCCATGTGGCAACATCTGACCAGTTCCCTGTGATCCACAGCTCAACCTCTATAGATTAAGTCTGAGGGAGAAAGTAGATGATGTTCTTTGAGAAGCTCACATGATTTTTGAAGAGACTCAGTGAAAGTCTCATGACAGATTTGAGTAGACCAAAGCAGCAGGAGATAGCCGTGTGAATGGAGAAGCAGCATTGCGTGAGGTTGTGTGCTTTGACTCTGCTATAAATGCATTTCCTTCTTTTTTTTCCAACCCCCTTGAAGCCGTCTGCCAAGGAATCACATGGTATACGTCACTTGTTTTACCCTAATGGGCCATCCTGCCATGCAAGACCACAAAAGGATACTTGTTAGTTCTACATTAACATTTTTCTAACATTTACATTTCCCCAAACACTCTACTGTTCTCTTTATCTGATAGATATTTGCTATTACATTAACTACGAATTGTTAGTTCTGAACTTCTAGCCTGTTGTAACCCAGCAGGAGCAAGAGAAGAACATCCACAGCTCATAATCTTCGTCACGTGCTTACAACCGACTCCACCAGCGGCCTTTGGCAACAAAAGCAAGGAAAAAAGTGAGGCTTACTTCCTTGATCTCAACCAGACGACCACCTCCTTTTCTTCTCAGCTCAGCTGACATTGTAAATACTAGTTTGGAGCTTTATCGTTCAACTATGCAGTAGGAATTAAGCGTTTCAAGACAACTATGACTCTTCTAACCGAGGACCAGCCTTGCAGGTTCTCCGCACCGGACAGCCCACTCGCATCCATGGAGCACTACCCGGTGGACTCAGGGCCAAAAGAGGACTATTTGGACTGCATGGAACCAGCTGTGTTTGGAGCGGTGGAACCTCCGAAGCACTCCAGAGGAAGGCTTATCATGCACGGCATGGTCATGTTTGGAAGGGAATTCTGCTATGCTGTTGAGGCAGCGTTTGTCACACCGGTGTTGCTGAGCGTTGGACTCCCCAAACACCTGTACAGCCTGGTGTGGCTCATCAGCCCTGTTTTAGGTTTTATCCTACAGCCTGTCATCGGCTCGTCAAGCGACTACTGTAGGTCCCCATGGGGCCGAAGGCGACCGTACATACTCTTGCTCGGGATTATGATGTTAGTTGGCCTGACTTTATTTTTAAATGGAGATGCGGTCACAGCAGGTAGGTGCAGCCTAAGTAAATTATGAATCTGTCAAGATTATGAAACCAGGAGCTACTTGTGTCTAGGTTGGTAGTTAAAGAATCTACCGTTGGCAATGCAATTTTTAAAACAGTTAGCAAATTTTATTTGCTCTCCCTTGACCATTAAAAATATTGTTAGGATGAAGAAAATAATGACCCAGGAAGGAATGCTAAGCAGATATAGGAACTTCAAATAACCACAAAAGTACTGCATTTTTCACATTATATCAAATAGCTTTTTTTAATGACCAAAGGAGATGTCAGTCAAAAATAGTTCTGTGGAATATAACACAGCTGGACATTGCATGTTTTTTTTTCTCTCACAGCATTATGGGAATCTTTACCTATTCCTACCATATTTCTTATTAAATACTACAAATCTAGAATTGTAATCATTTGAAATAAAGAGTACTTGTTAATTTACCAAGCACACACATTTAAAATACTGAAGAAAACTCCTGTTTTCGTTACTACAATTAGGTGTTCTTTGGCAAAAATGATTAGCAAATTTTATTTGCTCTCCCTTGACCATTAAAAATATTGTTAGGATGAAGAAAATAATGACCCAGGAAGGAATGCTAAGCAGATATAGGAACTTCAAATAACCACAAAAGTACTGCATTTTTCACATTATATCAAATAGCTTATTTTAATGACCAAAGGAGATGTCAGTCAAAAATAGTTGTGTGGAATATAACACAGCTGGACATTGCATGTTTTTTTCTCTCTCACAGCATTATGGGAATCTTTACCTATTCCTACCATATTTCTTATTAAATAGACCAGCCGAAGAACAGCAGAGTCGTGGTAGAAAGTTTGGAGATAGTATTAAAGTAGCTCAGTTTAAATGTATTGTATGAATTGCCCTTACTATGGAATAAAAAATACGGGGTGTCTATTTACATTTAGTTAAAAGTGGCTGTAAATCATCAGCTCCAGTGGCGCAGATGGATAAGCGTGTATCGTTGGCTTTTTGACGGAATCGTCCCGGGTTCGATCCCGTCTTTTGCTGAACTTTTTTTTCCTCCCTTTTCAAATTCTTCCCTGTATAAGTTGATTGACAGATGTCTCGTCCAGTCAGCGGTGAGTAATCCCAAACCAATGGCGCTGTCTCAAACTATACCTACCTCTTCCGGTTTGTCTGATTTGTCGTTGTGTTTTCTGACTTGTTCATTTGTTTTCGGATTTGTTGTTGTGTTTTCTGACTTGTTATAATATTGTCTGAATTGTTGTTGTGCTTTCTGAATTGTTATTTTGTTTTTTAGATTTGCATTTGCGTTTGTAATTTTGTTATTTTGTTTTCAGAATTGTGATTTGTTTAGCACTTCTCGGCCACCGTAGGTTTAGGTAAAAAAAAATAATAGCACAGCCATGTTATGACAAACCCTCGCCATACTGTAAGTGCTGTTAGCAGTTCCACCAGAAAAACACAATGGCTCCTGTATTTAACACGTGTGATGTCTGAAAGATTTCCTGCTGATTCAATAGATGAAGAATGAATATCAGTGCTGAAAATCATTCTGTGGTCTCAAGTCAGTCGCTGAAGTGAGTAATAGATAAATCAAAATTCCTAACATATGTAATGTGACAGAACACATTGTTTTTATATATAATGGCAGGAAAGATTTTTCAACAATTTGTAAAACTACTACAGAAACCTTTAACTTCATTCAAAATAATTTTTTGATAAATAAACTTCCATAGCTTGTTTTGCCTCATGCACATTATTCCATTATAAAAGTCACTGTTGCAATTAGTGTAGCAAGAGCTAATACATTTGAATTCCTTCCTAAAACAAGAACAACTCTTATTAAAGGTGACATATCATGAAAATCTGACTTTTCCAGGTTTTTAGTGCTATAATCATGTCCCTGGTGCATCTACCAACCAAGGAAACGTGAAAAAGATGAACCCAATCACTTTGTTTTGGTAAGCCTTTTTTTGCAAGCATCTGAGAAAACGAGCGCGTCTGATTTCGCTCCCTTGGTGACGTGGCAAAGGGATCTCATTATAATATTACCGCCCCTTAATCTGTAAACTTCCACTCAAGGCACGTCATTGTGTTTTCGCAAGCGACGATGGTGTACCAGCTCTAATGCCATGGCGAAAGTTTGAGCAAAACATGCTTACTGTTCTGTCTTTGGCTGCACAGATGAGCACAGAACACTATTTAGTCCCAGCCTCAGAGGAGACAAGAGAGCAGTGGATTTGTTTAGGCTACTGTATATTGCTGCTGCCAAGCAAATCTAAAATAAACAAGCAATTTATTTCCCAGCTGTTTACCTTCACAGACATAACCGACTGTTTTTGTAACTCGTGTGTTTTTAACGTAAACTTGTGTGTGAATGAGAACTTAGTTTAGTACTCCCATGCTGTGACAGCAGCTTTCTGTCCGTGTGCTTCGGATGTGTGCGCTCAGAAAACCTTATATCTGAAGTTTAAACTCATATGGTTTAAAATGCATGATTTCAGCACGATAATCAGAACCAAAACAGATGTTTTTAGCATATATGAGCTGTAATGGCGCAGCTGTATTCTGGAAAAGGAGGCGGGAAGCAGCAGCTCATTTGCATTTAAAGACAAAGGCCCGAAAAACAGCTTGTTTCTGCTTCCACTCAAAATAGGTATTTTCAAATTTATATAATAAATGATCTGTGGAGTATTTTGACCTGAAACTTCAGACACATTCTGGGGACACCAGAGGGGGCATAATATGTCACCTTTAAAGTACTTTTAGTGCTTCATCTTACATTTGGAGAAGCATTTTGGTTTTTACAAACAGAGCACATCCCACCGAAACTTTTAATTGCATTTGATTTTCCGAGTGTGCTTTTTCACTCCTGTATTTAACACGTGTGATGTCTGAAAGATTTCCTGCTGATTCAATAGATGAAGAATGAATATCAGTGCTGAAAATCATTCTGTGGTCTCAAGTCAGTCGCTGAAGTGAGTAATAGATAAATCAAAATTCCTAACATATGTAATGTGACAGAACACATTGTTTTTATATATAATGGCAGGAAAGATTTTTCAACAATTTGTAAAACTACTACAGAAACCTTTAACTTCATTCAAAATAATTTTTTGATAAATAAACTTCCATAGCTCGTTTTGCCTCATGCACATTATTCCATTATAAAAGTCACTGTTGCAATTAGTGTAGCAAGAGCTAATACATTTGAATTCCTTCCTAAAACAAGAACAACTCTTATTAAAGGTGACATATCATGAAAATCTGACTTTTCCAGGTTTTTAGTGCTATAATCATGTCCCTGGTGCATCTACCAACCAAGGAAACGTGAAAAAGATGAACCCAATCACTTTGTTTTGGTAAGCCTTTTTTTTCTGAGAAAACGAGCGCGTCTGATTTCGCTCCCTTGGTGACGTGGCAAAGGGATCTCATTATAATATTACCGCCCCTTAATCTGTAAACTTCCACTCAAGGCACGTCATTGTGTTTTCGCAAGCGACGATGGTGTACCAGCTCTAATGCCATGGCGAAAGTTTGAGCAAAACATGCTTACTGTTCTGTCTTTGGCTGCACAGATGAGCACAGAACACTATTTAGTCCCAGCCTCAGAGGAGACAAGAGAGCAGTGGATTTGTTTAGGCTACTGTATATTGCTGCTGCCAAGCAAATCTAAAATAAACAAGCAATTTATTTCCCAGCTGTTTACCTTCACAGACATAACCGACTGTTTTTGTAACTCGTGTGTTTTTAACGTAAACTTGTGTGTGAATGAGAACTTAGTTGAGTACTCCCATGCTGTGACAGCAGCTTTCTGTCCGTGTGCTTCGGATGTGTGCGCTCAGAAAACCTTATATCTGAAGTTTAAACTCATATGGTTTAAAATGCATGATTTCAGCACGATAATCAGAACCAAAACAGATGTTTTTAGCATATATGAGCTGTAATGGCGCAGCTGTATTCTGGAAAAGGAGGCGGGAAGCAGCAGCTCATTTGCATTTAAAGACAAAGGCCCGAAAAACAGCTTGTTTCTGCTTCCACTCAAAATAGGTATTTTCAAATTTATATAATAAATGATCTGTGGAGTATTTTGACCTGAAACTTCAGACACATTCTGGGGACACCAGAGGGGGCATAATATGTCACCTTTAAAGTACTTTTAGTGCTTCATCTTACATTTGGAGAAGCATTTTGGTTTTTACAAACAGAGCACATCCCACCGAAACTTTTAATTGCATTTGATTTTCCGAGTGTGCTTTTTCAAAGCAATCTGCTGTGCTTCCTTGCAGGTCTAGGTGGAGCCTGTGGATACCTGATTGGAGCCATGGACTGGGGTCACTCTGCACTTGGTGTCATACTGGGTTCAGAATACCAAGTTATCTATTTTTTCTCGTCATTGACCTGGGGCATTTTTCTCACCATGCACCTTTTCAGCATCTCAGAGAAACCACTGATGAAAGATCACAGTTCAGACTCTTGTCCAGCCGCCTCACTGCTCCTGGAAGACCCACATCATAACGGCTACGGCACGGTACACAAAGAATCACCACCTCTGCCTGAAATGAGGCAGCGCTCGTTTTCTGCCCTGAGTGAAGCCAATGCAGTCACGCCCAGTGCCAAGCAGCCTAACAGCGAGGTTGGTCATTTGTGTTACCTTGAATCCCTTTCATGTGGCTTTTATTCTTGGCTTCAGCCTGCACCCAATTTCCCCTCACATTTTAATGACCTGTTTCAGACCTTGGAGCATCAGCCTTTGTGAGCTGTAATTAGGCTGCCACTGGATACTCATGCCTTTCACAGAAACAATTCCTTGTTTGGTCGATAATGAAAATCAGCACATGCTTTTTCCAGTTGTTAGAAATGCAACAAATGATGGCATATTAACAGGTCTTTGTGGTGAAGTGGTGATGTTATAATTACTTATTATGGCTATTGTGTGTAACTTAATTAAGTGTGAAAAATGTACACGGCTCTCAAAGTTCACACTATATTTTATTAGGTCATTAAGTAATAAATCAGGCCCAGGTTTACCATTAAAAATAGTAACATAGTATAGCATCATATAATGAGACAATATATGTGTCTCATTATATGGTAAAATATAATTTTCTAAAAGAGTCAAAAATTCTGAGACCACTATAAAAATGCTGCTGTTTTGTATTTGCATTAGTAAAAAATATACTAATAAATATATATACATTTTTAGCAGAATAACTTAAACAAAAATTTGAATAATAGTCATTTGAACGTTTGTTATTTATCATCAATTGATCAAATGAATAAATATTATAAATTTATTATTAATAAATTGAATTGGGTAATGACCTAAAATAGTACAGAATTTTGAAAATGTTTTGTTTATAATGTCTTTTTTCAACTTTATTTACAAATATATTGTAAATCACATATTTTAGAGTACCCCAGAGTATATCTTGGATCATCATTTTTCACTTTTTCAGATCATCGTTTAAATGCTTCTTTTGAATCATAAAAATGAGGCATGCTCTTTGTGAAACCTCCGCTGTGGTCCTTAACCATATTGTCAAATAGTTAGACTAACCTTCAAAGTGCATCAGTTTATTTCTGTTTTAAAGTGCGTTCTCTTATCCCAGTATAATGTGCAGAGACAACTATAAGATCTTCATACTGCATGAAGTTGACAGGTTTGTGAAAACCTGATGATTCATGTGATCTCTATGTTTTATACACTATAAAAAATGACCGTGAATTTAACGGTAAAAGACTGTAAA